TTCAACTTGAGCCAATCTAGCAAACAGTCACATTCACTCAAATTCAAGCAAAACAAATGTTGCAGAATGATTTTGCACAAGGGGTGATGAGAGAAATGGTGCAGGGCTTCCTCAAGCCAGAGGTTAAAGACTCAACAAGCTTCAAGAGTTGCTCGTAGACAAAACAAACCCAAATGTGGGTGCAAAAGCGCTTCCTGCAATGTTAAGTTCGACGAGTTCTCGCTCCTTGCTTTCAGGCTGCCTGTACATCTGGCGAAGCCGTTGCTTCCGTATTCCGCACTCTTCACAGTGTCATTCTGCTTGCAACAACTCATGCCCGATGAGGGATGGTGCTTTTGTCTCTCTTCAAAAATCTACTAATTTGGGTGGTCGGCCAGCAACTTGAAGCTCATTATCGTGAAGGGCGCTGATCCTGAAATTTATCGACCAATGCTTAAAGAACTCTTGTTCAGAAACCTGGTGAACTGTTGCACAGCAAGATATTTACCCTCCCCGCATCCCCATCCATGTATGCCAAAAAGATTGATGCTCACTACAGTAAAACTGTCTGACTGGGGGGAGTGTCTGAACAAAATCGACATAGCCTCTACACAGAGTTAGGAGTCCAAATCATGAGTCCCTGAAAGCAAAGGCTTCTCAAAGCTTCTCAATACAGCAGAATAAAGAGTCTCCGAGTACGAAGAAAAAAGCTTTTGGGTACGAAAGAATATTCACTACAAAGTGACTGCGAATACTGCGCCAGTGTTTGAAGGCAATACGTATGAATACAAGAGTCTTGGAACATAGCAGAATAGCTTTCTACATAGAATGAAATAGGCTTGAAAGCGGAGGTTCCGAGTGACAAGAAGTGTCTGAATATGGCTTGATGAGGGCGAGTGTCAGGACAATGCTATTTCTGTCTTTCTGGGGCCTTGCCCGTCCTCAAAGATCCTGTTTATGCACGCCATGAGTGCTGCCCCCTGCAACTACCTTGTGACAATTTTTTTGCCAGGAAGCCCGCTGTGGCGTTGGTGCAACAAATCTCAGGATGTCAATACGAGAATGTGGAGTTGAATTCCCTCCATTTATTGCACTGAAACATTGGCCTTACGGCCGTTGTGACACCCCGTCAGTCCGTCCTGCACATTCGTCCCAAATGCTCCAAACAGGTTGGTCCCAACGTCATGGTGGCACTGTGTCGAGCTGCACTGAACATCGACCGAAGAACGCCCGGTCGGTGCACTGAGCCGATCACAGTCGAGACCGGTGGCGGTCTGCGGGTTCGGTCTTGGAGGGTCTCGGGGTGTTGCTCCCTTGACGCTACCAGGGGCTCCTGGCCTCACTACTTGGAACAAGAAGCTTCTAGGGGCTCCTGGCATCGCTACTAGGAGCAAGGATGCCACTGGGGTAGAGGCAATTGGATCTCAACTTCCGGACCCGACTCTGTGGACCGACTCTGGGCGTTCGATTCATGCCAAGGCATGTGGATTCCGAGCAGAGGGCTCCAGAGTGTCCATGACACTCGTTTATCTGATTGGCAACACCATCTGTGATGTGCTAGTGATAGCTTCTAAACCTTTCAAGACTGGTCTCGTCTGATCCCCTCTAGCCCAGCTGCAACAAACAAATAGTGTTTTGTGCAGAAATGACAGTGGACTTGCAAGGTTGTGGACACCAAAGACTGCAAAGTCCATGACTGTTTCATCCATTGACAAACACTGTTGTCATGAAATCTCGTTGTAGGATCTTCTTTCCGTAGCATCGCTGGGCGAATATTTGAGCGCCACAGGATGCTGAATCATGCAGGGCCTGGACCAACTGCAAAGAGCCAAATTACTTGCAGGATGCCATTCACTGTGAGTTGATGAGGAGCCACCTGAGTGTCATGTTCGCTTGCAGGCATCTGTGGATCTATCGTACCAAGGTCTGAAACACACTGCCGGGTAAAGCTCATTCACCTCCTACTTTCAAGATCCGTTTTCAACAACCCAAACTGCCTGATCTTTGGACCAACACCAACCTTCCGCTGAAGCAGCTAAGACCAAGCTTCTAGTTGCCTTGCTCACAATTGAAAAAAAAGATTGTGGTCAGTGTGCCCCTGGCACTTGCAATGGTCTACTGGCGGTGGCCTTGTCTGCAGTTTTGAGCGGGGCTTGCTTCCTCCTCAGCCGAAGAAAACTGCGGACTCACAAGACTTGGCTTCCTTTTAGCTTGAAGGAGTTGAGCAACAAACATTCCAGTCACAAGCCATGACATGGTGGGTATACTATACCAGTGATTGCCATTGCGTTGTCCCAAGGTCCGGATTAATGTAGAATTCCACGCCCGAAATTCTTGCAAACTGGGTAGCACACTGCTCTCTTCTGCATTGACGCTTGGGCGCAGGCCCCTGGAGACTTGCAGCCACAAGCCAAACACAATGACACGGTTGGTCTTTGTTCAATTTCAACACAAGACAACCGATCTTCGTGGGTATGAGCAGCACACGTGCAGAGAAACAGGTGAGACAGTGAGATCGATCGCAAAGAGATAGTTTTTCACGTTGCTCGTCGCGTTCGATTCTCGCCTCCTCTGCAATGGGGCTGCCCTGAGCACGCAGGTCGATTCTCTGGATCACTCGACGAAAGGAACCGACTGTCAATAGTGTCAATGTCAAGCTTGTCAAGTTGAGGGCTCCAAGAAGGCACTCCTCCACTTTTCGGTGTAAGGGCTAACTTCCGTACACTGCACGACCGTCAGAAAGATTCTGTTGGGCGGCCCAGTTCCATCTATGAACAGTTTTGGAATATGACGTGTCATGTTCACAGGCTCGCCTTGAAACACTCTGCAGGCGGAGTCTTCTGTCGCAATCGTGTGCGCCTGGAGCAGTTTTCAGTTGGTGCCAACAAAAAATACATCACTCCTTGATGTTCCCAGTCATCCAATTAGAACGCAGAGGTAGTTGGCTCATCACCATTTGACGTGTCTTGACCTGAATATGCAGTGAATACGTGTGAATGTGTCAATACATTTACATGCGAATACAGTGTATCTGGAATAGGGATGACGGGATGACTTCTCTGTTGCTTTCGTGTTCAACATCTTTCAACCTCACATTGATGTTACAATGATAGCTGATCCGTCCATTTCCAGCCTGGGAGCTTCAGGTGTCATTGGCGAAGAGCTTTTCCGGCCTGGTGTTGGGGGAGCCGGCCACATCTTCCACTCAAAGCCATGCACTGATTCTAGACAGAACTGAAACCTGGCTGCCCATGGGTTCTTGGCAAAATGCAAAACAGTCAACGGATGATCTTGTCCAAAGCAACAAGAACAATACTGCAACCAGGTCCATGCTGCTGTTGAGTTAAGCTCCTGCAGGACAAACGTTCCATTTGTTCGTACAGTGTCTTTCTTTGTTTAACATTATTAAACCTCCTGCAAACAGCTTTTATGTATTTGTATGTATTTGTTTTTCGGTTGTGCGTTTTCTCAGAGTCGCTTTTCCAAGTCCGCCTGAGCCCTGCGGTGCAGGTTTGGACCTTAAGACCCAACCATGGACATTCATGTCGTTGCTTCTGAGGTGTAAGATGTTCAGCTACGCAACAAGAGGTAAACTTGATTATCGAGAATGCTCATTGCCCTGACGTTGCTGCAAATGATCCTTCTTTCCCACAGGCAGCTGCACAACAATTTGCAGTACGGACTTGAGTGAAGTCCACCATCTCAGTAAAGATCTGAAAACCGAGGCCTCGCCTTGGAGGTGTGTTTTCTGCAGGTGCAGATGATAGCCTGGGACAGTTGCCAACAAAACGCGGATGGCAAATCAAATCTTTAAAAACTTCCCATGTGTCCATGTGTTCATTCATGTTCATTCCTTTGTGGCTAAATCGACATGTAGTATGTTCGTCCTCTGACATGGTGCTTGGCCAGTATGAGTATATACAAGTTTAAGCGCGACGTGATACCAAGAAGCACCAAACAAGAAAACCCTGCATGCAAAGCAAATGCCCTTGCTCAAGTGAATGAAACCATCCTAAAATGGGCACTTCTCTTTCCCTTTACACAATCTCAAGCCCAAAAACCAAACGAGAGCTAATCCAGTGGAGCCACGTCAGGGCTTCAAAGGCCATTCTCAACCGGCGGAAGGTCTCAGGATCTCCACCCTGGCTTCGATGCGCTCATGCGTCTGTCTCTACAACCCTTGCCAATGGCTTGCATAAAAACCATTTGCAGCCAACCACACAAAGCTGCCAGGTTGGAGGCCATCGCTAATGGATTGGAGCCATCGCTTCTAGGTTGGAGGCCATTACAATCAGGTTGGGATTCTATCAGTTGAAGGAAGTAAGGTTTCGAATCCCTTCAGCTGCAAGCATAGCTTCAGTTTCGATGCGAAAACATCTTGTAGGCGCAATTGGTCTGCAGCTTCCATGTTTGTATGGAAGTGGGTGTACCGTGTAAGTATATAGAGGTGGGCATGTCGATGGTTGCAAGGTTGCATGTCAGTCAATGTGTGTGGTCAATGTGTGTGTGTAAGTGCAAATCGAGGTTTGTAAGGGGGGTATGTAAGGTCAATGTGTGAAACTTGAGGCTGCAAACTAGGAGTACCAAAAAGGAAGGACCGCAGTGAAAAAATGCAGAACTACAAACCAGAACCCATGCAGCAGTGTGGAGAGCAATGCAAGAAGCAACAAGAGTTGAGTCAACAAACTATTAAAAACACTGCCCTGCAACCTTGGTTATACCATCCCTCCACCTCACGTTGGAATCATACCACAAAGTGCAATAAACTGCAATTATTATGCATGGGCCAATTATTGTGCATGGGCAAGATTGATACAAGGATGAAACAGTGATGATGGTGGGAAGAGTTTGCTGTACAAGGGAGGGGGAGCAAAGAACAAGCGTAGTCAACAAGTTCGCTACAAATGATATGACATGATATGACGTAAGATTTTGACTTTTGAACAGCATATTGAAAATCATATAATTGATGCATTACATAAGGTATATATTATATAATATTTTAGTGTATTGTATTATATTTTAAATTGAAAAATTGTGAATTTGCAAGCATTGAGCCTGCTGCATCAATTGCGATCCAAAAAAACGGTGATACTCACCCCTCCTGCAGCTTGGCCGCCACTATGGTCTAGCTGCTGACTGAACATCAAGAGCTGTATGGCACTGAGGAGTGGTGAAGAAAAATGCGAAGCTTGCCATCCTCGGTCTTTTTGTAGCCAAAGGTGTACTCAACTTTGGTTTGGTTCCCAGTTTCAGCACAAGTGAAGTAGTAGTTGCCCATGGCAATGGCAAGGTCGCCAGTGAGCTTCGTCTGGTGGTTCTCGAACTTGACGTCTGACCAGCCCTTGCCACCATTGATGGCAAAACCAGAGTCCTCGGAATGGCCACCCTCAACTGCATCGTGCCCAACAAAGTACGACATGGCATCAGAGGCACTTGGTCGAAACTGGGCCTCAGCCGCTTTGGTTGGCTTGAACAGCACCTCTGAGTGACCGTAGCCGTAGAGCTCTCCTGCAGCCTTTTCAGCTGCTGCAACATAGTCTCCACCATCAAGATAAGTCTTGGAGATGTGTTTGATGGCACTGGCCCAAGCTGCTTGTGCACTTTGCACTTCTTCCTGCGAAATGAGATCAGCAACAACAGTGGCACTGCTAGAGGTATATGGCACTGAAGAGTGGTGGAGAAAGATGCGCAGCTTGCCATCCATATTTTTTTTGTACCCAAAGGTGTACTCAACTTTGGTTTGGTTCCCAGTTTCAGCACAGGTGAAGTGGTAGTTGCCCATGGAAATGGCGATTGGGCCAGTGAGCTTAGTCTGGTGGTTCTCGAACACAACATCTGACCAGCCCTTGCCACCATTGATGGCAAAGCCAGAGTCCTCAGAATGGCCACCCTCAACTGCCTGGTGCCCAACAAAGTAAGACAATGCATCGGAGGCACTTGGTCGAAACTGGGCCTCAGCTGCTTTGGTTGGCTTGAAAAGCACCTGTGAGTGACCGTAGCCGTAGAGCTCTCCTGCTGCCTCTGCCGCTGCTGCAACATAGTCTCCTCGAGCAAGGTACACCTTGGAGATGTTCTTGATGGCACTGGCCCAAGCTGCTTGTGCAGCCTGCACCTCCTCCTCTGAAATCATAAACGAGGTTTCAGGGTCATACGGCACTGAAGAGTGGTGGAGGAAAATGCGAAGCTTGCCATCTTTCGTCATCTTGTAGCCGAAGGTGTACTCAACTTTGGTTTGGTTCCCAGTTTCAGCACAAGTGAAGTAGTAGTTGCCCATGGCAATGGCAATGTTACCAGTCCGATTGGTCTTGTGGTTCTCGAACACAACATCTGACCAGCCCTTGCCACCATTGATGGCAAAGCCAGAGTCCTCGGAATGGCCACCCTCAACTGCCTGGTGCCCAACAAAGTAAGACAATGCATCGGAGGCACTTGGTCGAAACTGGGCCTCAGCTGCTTTGGTTGGCTTGAAAAGCACCTCTGAGTGACCGTAGCCATAGAGATCACCTGCCGCCTTGGCAGCTGCTGCAACATAGTCTCCACCGTCAAGATATATCTTGGAGATGTCTTTGATAGTGCTGGCCCAAGCTGCTTGTGCCTTTTGCACTGCCTCCTCTGACACGAGAGGCTTTGCATCAAAGGAATCAAGGACTACTAGAGGTACTGACGAATTCTGGAAGAAAATGCCTACCTTGCCGAGCTCATCCTTCCTGTATCCGAAAGTAAAGTCAGCTTCAGTGATGCCATTCGTCTCAGCGCTGGTGAGGTAGCAGGTTCCCGAAGCAATCGCAACATTGTCAGAAATCTCGATCTGGTGATTGTCAAATCCTACATCCGACCAGCCCCTGCTTCCGATGATGGCAAAACTTGACTCTTCACTTCCTTGAGCATCACCCTTGGCACCGGCGATGAAAGCCATGGCTTCGGCTGCTGTTGGCCGGAACTGTGTATCCTTCGCCTCATTTGCCTTGAAGAGCACTTTCACTTTGTCATCAGTGTAGAGCCTCTCTACTGCCGTATGAGCTAGCTTGAGGTAGTTGCCGCCCGCATGGTATGAGTTTGAAATTCTCATGATTGCTTTTGCGTAGGCTCTTTGCGTGTGGTAAACCTCTTTTTCAGAAATCTGTGGGGAAACTTCAAGATCAAGAGGATCCACCCAGGAGGTAAAGGAGCCTTGGTAGGCCAAAGGATCCACCCAAGACCCAAGTCCGACTTGGGAAAAGGATCTTTGTGAGGCAAGCTTGTCGACACTTGTGCCCACTGCCAGTGGTCGCACTAGCGAACCAAAGCAACAGCGGAAATGAGCTGACTGAGTCAAGGATTTCCAGCCCCAACGATGAGTCCATGGTGTTTTAAGGCGAAGCGCCGCCATGGCTCCACTTCTTTCGTGCACTCCGCTTCTGAAAAACACACGCCACACAAAGCATCCTTTCAACAAGTACATGTCCTCTATCACACGAAAATTGACAGCAACTGGTAAATATGTTTGTCATTGTTTATCCTTTAACGTAGAGGTTCTAGCCATGAAACCGTCTGGCTCGGTGAATGAATAGAAACTCCAGTCTTTCAGTCATTTTTTAACACTGCTCTTGTGGGGTATCGGAGTGTTGGTCAGATCTCCATAGCCATTTATTTACGTGCCTTCATGATCCACATCATGCATCTACACATTTTGAGCCTCCATTCTTCCCGGTGCGAGTGGAACTGGATCTCTAGCGGCGGGAATATCCTATATACAGTATAACTTTCAGCACTGGCAAAGTACGAAGATGCAGTCCCACAAATTGACTCCTAGGTTCAAGAACAGAAGCCAACTTGCACTGAGCGCTCAGTTTGTTTGTCAGTTCCTCAACTTGCTACCTGTAAGGAACGTGTATAACAGTGTATGACACTGATACTTTGCCTAATCCTCCATCTGTTTGGGAATCCTCAGATACAAACACTTCCATGTTCCCAGCCTGGCCTTGTCAGGGTGATGTTGCTTGGCAAGTCGCCTATAGGCCTTCGTCGCCTGCACAGAGGGTTATTTGCAGAACATGTATTTTAATGTACAGTATTTTATGCTTCTTCAAAAAGAACACAGCAGCCGCCCCTTTTTCCCACAATCTTGAGCCAAACATGTCCGGTGAAGTGAAACGTCAATGACTGGATCATGTGATGGCTACATTCATTAAGATTCCTATGACTTGCATGTCAAGTGATACAACAGTGCTTGGTGACACATCGAATGCAAAGCTTGCCTGCAGAGATGCTCTTTGGCTGTTCATGGACTGCTTCAAGGACTGCTTCCCCTGGCGTGCCAGATGCATCGACCAGGGTGCTTTGCTAGTGGATTAGGGGTGGTGGTTTCACCCCATGTCTCTCTCCTCCCCCCTTCACACATTTACAGCTTCAGTGGAAGATGGGTGCCTCGAGAGATTTGGATCCACGACGCCTAAAAGCTCCAAGGCGTGACTCCATTTAGAAACCGGCAACGGCTTCGTGAAGGGATCAGCCTTTTGATGGTCCGTTTTTATATAAAGCAATTTGGCACTACCATTTGCGAACGTCTCGTATAGAGAAGAGAGGTTGATACGATGGTGTTTCGAAACATGTCGGAGCTTGGGGCTATAGCCCTGGCCGCATATGGTTATGACGGCGCTGTTATCCTGGAAACACACCAATTCAATTTCTCTCCTAAATACTTCCTCAACGAATTCGGCAACTGGCAAAGCGTCAAATACGCCGTGGGCAAGTGATATGATCTCGGCCTCTGTGGTCGATCGTGCAGTGGCACCCTGTCGCTTACTGTGCCACGACAGTGGCCAGTAAGACCCCGGTCCTTGCAGACACAGCAAACCACCAGAGGTGCTCTTTGCATCCTCTACCGCGCTTGAGTGGTCCGCGTCGGTATACAAGACCAGTTGTAGGTCTTCCTGACGATCTGCGATTTTGCCTTTCAGGCAGAACGCCTTGGTCTCGAACAGATAGTTCATCAATCTGTGCAAGCGGCGGTCATCGGCACGACTCCACTTCGTGACACGGCGGGTGAGATCCCCTATTGCCTTCACCGTGTCCGGCCTGGCAAGTCTGCCCGCCCAAAGGACTTTCATCAAGACCTTACTAGCATCACTTGCTAGAGCACCGCGCTCCTCCCATTCATTCACTGGAATGGAACCTTCTGGCAAGAACGGAGATGCAGCGCCTTTCAATGGCATCCCTGACAGGTTTTCATACATTTGGCATGCTGAGTTGATGAAATCTACCATGTCGAAATAAACTTCAGTCACTCCATTTTCACGTTTGAACAAATGCTTTCTGCCAAGACAACGATCCACTGGGGTCGGTTCTTCTATTTCAAGGTGTTTTTGCAGGTTTTCCCAGAACCCTTTGTGCAAACCTGATGGCCCTGAAAGCAAGATGTCATCAACGTACAATGTGAGGACTAGACCATTTTCAAAGGTCCAATTCGACTGGTTGTCTCTGTCAGCTTTACCTCCCATGAGTCCCATCACTTCTCGGAATCTTGCATCCCAGTGGAAACCCGATTCCGGGTGTCCGTATAGCGCTTTCTTCAGGGGCGCTACTGGCATTTTGATGTGAGCGAACTCCTTTGGCACTAACTCTGGTGGGAGTAGCACCCAAGTGTCCACCACAGTTCGCAAGACACTTTGAGTGTATGCACGCACACCGTCCGACTGGGAACTTTCATTTCCTGGAAGTGCACCATAGCTCAAGTTGAAGTTTATGGCCGTGATTCCCGAGGGATTCACTTTGAGTTCCTGCAGGATGGCGATGTTGTTGTCTTGGTCAACAATCTGATCGCCTCTGAACACAATTCTGGCTTTCAACTTTCGCAATTCTGGACTTTCAGCGTGCTTCATGGACAGGATTGTCATGAGACGACCTAGGTTGAATTTACCACCCGACTTCACCAGTTCTTCTTTGGAAATGATTTTATTAACATCCCAAACTTCATTTGCTAGAAGACCATCCAACTCTTTCTTGATAGCTTGATCAGCCCCCGGATACTTTCCCCAATCTCGACGATCAATCAACTGATGAACACCGAAAGGAATCTTATGCGGGACATGTTCTGACTGAACAAACGGACAAGTCGGCATGATTGGGACGGAATCACCATCAGGGTACAAGCTGTTCGAGATTGTTTGCGCCATCCTTTCAGTGTAGAAGGCTGACTTCCCTGTGCTTGAACCCTCCAGGACTGTGTTTGAAGTCTTTTGGGTGTTGGCATCTGTATGCACCAAGGTCTTTTGCCAACTTTCTTGATGAGGTTACGACTCTCCATGTCTTCAGATGTGGTTCTCCTTTACTGTCTTTCAAATCAAAGGCACAGCCGTCACAGCATGTCTCATACAAATCATGTTTCTTGACAAACTGCAAAAGCTCGGTCAACATCCAACCTTCGCAATGTTTGGGCCATTCGAAAGCAACATGTCCTCCGTTCTGGAGAATTCTCTCGGCAACTTTTACATAGTTAGCTAAGAGTTTCTTGCTTGTCTATCTCTTGGCTTTCAATTTCTTTGCGTAGGATGAACCATATCGATGCAGACACATTTTCTGCCAAGGACTCCACGAACTACATGGAATGCTTCCCCAAAGGTCAGCCCCTTTGAACATGTCTACCAACGACAAAAGGCTTTTGATGTCTTCTTCATTTTCCAAGTTGGTTTGTTCTCGATGCAACCGAAAATGCGGAACCCCCCTTGATTCATTAATTTCTCCTAATTTCGAGTCTTTGCTGCAGCAGAATTCAAACATTGCATGACTTTTGTCAGACCTCATCCTCCTTTCACGGGGTGGTTTCAATGTCTGAACGTCTTTAACTTCTGCAGGGACCGGAGTCAAACCAAGGATCGACATGACAGCATCAAGTCCGCGAAGAGGTTCTTTCTCAACATTGCATGTCATGGCTATGATTCTAGCTCTTACATTCTCGGGTTTCTCCTTCGGAAAGAAGTATGTGCATCCTACCCAACTTTTTGAACAAATGCGCCTATTCGGTGACATGGATTGCCAATCATCTGCAAACAACGAAGTCTTGTTTCTGCAAGTCCAAACAGTTTGACGTTCTGTTGTCACTTCGAACGAATCAAAAGGACAGTCATTTCCAAGCGGTGTGAACAAACGCTTCCTCGGACGGACATGGATTCTCTTCCATGCAGCTTTGGCCTCATCAAAGTCCCAATAGTCATTCAGTGCCTCAGCATTACAGCAATCCACGTGAGAAGCCTGTAGCTTGCTCTCGTGGCCTTCAGGCAGGACAATGGGATTTTCTCTGAATTTTTGGCGGCTACACTTGTCCTTCAAGGTGTGCATCGAAATGTCCACAGCTTCTTCTGATTTCTTTGTCTTTCTTCGAATCTGACTCTTTGGCTAGTCTCTCGTCTTCCAAGAGTTTGCCAATCCTTGCGTGGCATTCATCGCTGTGCCTCACGCCTTCTGCGATTCTGTCGCAGCCTTTGCAACCTACAGTCTTTCCGAACCTAATGCATCTCTCCAATGTTACATAAGGCCTACGTTTGCGTTTGGCTGGCTCGGGAGGATCCTCTCCAAAGGGCAACGACTCTCTGGGATCAATGCTCAGCAACTCCCGATCTGCTTTAAACAATGCCAGCTGTGAATTTGCAGCCTCTTCCAAAGGAAAGATGAACACTTCTGGTTTCACAAGCTCACTAGTATACACTTGGATTGGTTTCTCACAACCTTTCTTGTTGGTGCGAACAGCTTCATAATCCAAAACCAAATGCACACCTCTGAACTTATACCCGTTGTCGATTCGCCATCCACAAAAGATCCCAGGAAAAGTCCTTGGGTCAAAGGCAGGAAGTTCTCTATGCTTGGGTGGTTTGTACCAAACTAATGCACCAAAAGGAATCCGGTACCCATCAAAAACATTACCTGAAGCAACTTCATAACAGGTTTTCCCTTCCTTCAACGCTTTGGACTCAGGAGTCTCATTCGGATGCACAGGACATGGATGTGTGATTGCATGCGCTACAACAAAATACTCTATGCTTCTTGGCCAAAAGGCGTGCGGCAAACCTGACTTGAGATGGATCGCACGTGTGCCTTCTTTGATCCTTCGGATCAAGCTTTCCAACTTTGCATTGTGATACGGGTCATTCTCAATCCCTGGTTCACTCAACCAGCCCAAATGTTCAACGGCTTTGGTCAATTCTTGAGCACAGTCGGTTTTCACAAGGCAAGAAGACCTAGGGGAAGCTCTGGTTCCAGCAAACTTCTGAAGGCACAGGATGTTCGAGTCAGTGTCTCTTGAGGTCATGGAGTAAGCTCCAATGCAACCTGAGAATTCATCGAAGCAAACAAGGCATGCTTGTTCCCCACCAGCACCTTTGGTTAAATCTGCCCCCAAAATAATGTGATCTGCTCTCATCATGTGGCCATAGTGGAGCGGAGGAATTTCA